TGTACATAAGGATGTATGTTATTCATGTTCAATTATTACGATTCTATGTTACTCATTTGCTATTGTACTTTGATTTTGATTTAGTTCACTTCTTAATTTCCATTTTTATGTTAAAATCATAAAAATTAGTATGAAAAATGGAAAATTATAGAAGAATTTAATACCACTATGAAATATTACAAACAATTTATCCAGAATTCTATTATACTTACTCGTATTCGTATAATTCGATTTATTACCAGCGATTATATATTGAGTGCTAAATAACAGTAAAGTTATAAATCCAAACGAATAACTTGAATGTAAATACAGACATAAACTCATAGATGCATAAATTAAGTATTATTTAGTTGTAGCAGCACATATAGTGAAACTAAATTATACAATGTAGCTAAATACAGTGGGCCATATAAAATATTAAAGCATGAAAATATAATATTGAATTTTAAATTTTATACATAATTCAATTATGTTTTGTCAGAGAAAAGAAAAATATATATATTATATTTTCAACAAGTGGTTTTAATTTTATAACCCATTGTTCAATATTTGATTTGAATTCAATTGAATTGTAAATGATTGAATGCATACATCATACATGATTTGTCAGTGGTAATTGTATTATTAATTAATTAAATATTACGTAGCAAATTTATTTTTTTTTTTTGCTTTCTTTTTTGACTTTTGTTATAATAAAATAAATCGTGTTAAATATTTTCTTCCTTTATTTTTACAAAAATTGCGAACAAACAATAATGACCAATTAGCTGCAAAAATCATGACTAAAGAAAAAAAAAATACCCACATAAATTAGAAGAATATAAATATGGCTTAAATTTTGGTATTAGTAAGTAATAAGAAACAATATACATTAGTTAGAGAAAAAAAGGTAATTTTCCCTAGTCATTGTTACTGTTAAGACAAAGTTTAAAAGACAACAACTATCGACAAATATATTCAATGATTTGATTGTTTTAGTAGGAAAACTTTGGAAAATACTCTTTGCTAGTAGCAGTTTGATATTAACACGTGTTAACAGGCTGAATATGTTCATACAAACCAATATAAATTTATACAATTGTCTAAGAATTTCGATAAAATGTATAAGAAATTGTTTGTTTAGCTACAGCGTAGCTTAAACACGTTTTAAAATTGTATTAGCTTTTAAAAATAGTAGTTTTTTTTTTATAGTTTGATTATAATTTTTCAATCTTTATTGGTTAAATATTTTTAAATTATTTTTAAATTAATACTGGGCTAAAGCTGTTGAACTGGTTAAGCAATTATAATCTTTAGTTTAAAATTCAGATGTGACTGACGCTTATTGGAAATTTTTAGTGAAAAATTAGAATTTATGACTAAAGTTTGTGGATAGTTGAATTATTAGTGAAAAATTTAATTTTAAGTAAATTATTTTGGCTTATTGAATTTTAAGTGATAAATTCAAATTATCGTGAAAAATTAAATTTACAGATGAAAATTAAAATTATAGTAAAAAATTTAATTTTTGATAAAAAAAAAAAAATAATTTTTATCGAAAAATTGAATGAAAAATTTAATGACTAGAAAAAGGTTTTAGTAGAAAATTGAATATTAAAGTTAAACATTTAATTATACCCTACACCAATTTAGTGGGGAGGGTATATTGGGTTTGTGCTGATGTTTGTAACGCACAATAATATTGGTTCTATACCAGTCATGGGCAAACACATACCACCATGTGTATATTTGTGTGCGTTAAGCAGCAGAGAGATGACTGCACGTTATAACAAAATGGTGGTACACTGAGAAAAGTTTTTAAATATGTTTTCTATTGCAAATGCTTTTTACGACGAGAAAAACTCATGAACTTTTGGGCATTTTAAACAAAAATGGAATAAAGGGAAAGAGTTTTTCATTTAAGAAAAGTAGTAGTATTTTTAAAAAGTAGTATTAAATAAAACTACTGAAATATCATTAAGAAAATCACGACTTTCTATTCGATTTCGAACTTTTAAGGGATATTACCGAGATATTAACTGAACTTAATTTAAAGTTCAACTAATCTATCCAAATCAATGTTTCCTTTATATTCCTTAATACGCAATAAGTCACCAATGTGTTGATCGGTTAACCTTTTAATTGCAACAACTTTACTTTTCTGTCATGTCCCCTAAGGTCATTTAAGGGTCCATGGCAAGTTTCATAAAGCCTTTTCAAAAAAAATAAAGCTTTTCTACATATAATTTTATAACATACGACGCATTGTGCCTCACCGTCCATGTTTTCTATAAAAAAGAAATCATTTTCCCAATTTATATCAAACATTTTGCTAGGTGTAATAAAAGAGAAAAAATCATAAGCATAAAAAAATCCGCAACGTGATCTTGCTTCTACAAAAGCTGAACAGCAACTGATTTGATTTTGATCTCTGAGATCGTAACAAAGCAACAAACAAGTGGTCATTTTAGTAAAACACAGACACACTAATACACACAAGCTTATAGTGTAGGTGTGTCAACAAAGCGTCAGCAGAATTTCTTGGCCTATGCACGCGTGCATTAGAATTTCAGTTTTGCTCGTGACTGTTCTATACCCACCTTAAAGGCTTAGAATCATTTTCTTAGTCAATTTAGCTATGTCCGTCCGTCCGTCTGTCCATCTGTCTGTCCATGTACAATTTGTAATCAAACTACAGGTCGCAATTTTAAAGATAATTCAATGAAATTTGTCCCAGGGACGAAGCCTATTGAAAATAGTCAAGTTCGGTCCAATATTTCACCTAGCCCCCATACAACTGTAACCCTGAATAGGGCTAGTAAACCTTGTAATCAAACTACAGGTCGCAATTTTGAAGTTAATTCAGATGATCTTCTGTGGTACCGGAGACGAAACGTATTGAAAATGGTTAACATCGGTCCATTATTTTACCTAGCCGCCGCCAAAAAACTGCAAAACCAAGTTGCCTTGATGACCCTCATGAATTTTATAATTATAAGGTCTCATTTGACTATAGCCCCTATTTAAAGCCCCCTTCAAAATTTGACTTAAATGTCCACAATTCAGCAATAAATGGCATAAGTTTAATTCAAGGCAAGGTACAATTCAACTTAAATGCTTTATTATAAAAACTAAATCACATTTTATTTTTGTAACAGGTGTAGGGTATTATATGGTATTATATATATTATATTTCTTACTTGTTTTATACATAATATTGATTTCCTATTTTATTTTTAACGTATACGTAACATTGGTCTGTTAAAAAATACACATTTCTCATACGCAACGTTACCACACTAATGTAATGTAAGTGTGAGCAGAGAAAAACTGAAGCATATTATCAGGCTTATTGAATACAATTTTACTAATCAAATTCCTTTTCGCTTCAAAACTTTTGATTTTGAAATACAACGATAACAATGAAAAGAAAAAAACGTGAAAACATTTTTTTAAAAGTTTTTTCACCTTTACAAATTATTAAAAAATATGATAAAAATAAATACTAATTTTAATTTTGTTAAAAATATAGTCATCATATTTGTGTTCTCATAAAGAGCTTCACATTTTCTTACAATTAACCACACAAAAATCGAATTACAACAATTGTGGGAAGACAAAACAAATCTTTATAGATTTAAACTTAAATGTCAATGCTTAATAAAAACACAAACTACACACATTTATATACATATAACCACAACATGCAACATACTAATACAATGAAACACAAAAAAACAATACACAACTTGATAAAAGAATATACATACATACATAAGTATTAGCACCCAGAACCATAGTCAAAGGCACAAATGTATATAAACAAACGCACAAATGTATTTGACATACACAAATATACAATAATAGAGAAAAACACTTTCAAACACACTCATACATACATATCAGTTACAAGTATTTTAAACAATACCTACTATTCTATACAGCGAATTCGCAGAAATAACATAGGAATGTACATACATATATGTATGTGTTTTGTAGTTATATATATTCCTGTATGTCTATGTTGCTTTTTATATAATATATCTATATATAAAACAAGATCACAATAATAAAAGAGAACAAAACAAATAAAAAACATAAATAAAATTGGTTGGAGGGTAAAAATAAAATAACAAATACTATCGCAATGTGTGTAGAGTATTGTTGTTGTCTTCGTTTTACAACACAACTCATTTAATGTGAAATTGAGATTGAGCACAACCGATAAGTAAATCCAATTAGCAATGACACAAGGAAAATAACAGAGAGAGAGTGAAAAATAAAACAACAACAACAACAAACAAAAGCCCAAACAACAATATATTCTGCTAATAACGGTGGATTTTAACTTGACTACTAAGGCAAACGGACATACATACACAGTATAAAATGTGTATAAACACACATACATATTTACATTTTATACTGGTAGTTAAATGCAAGATGAAGTTTTGTATTAAATTACTATACGACACCATACTCTCTATAAAGCTCATTTACTGTAAGAGTGTACTAATCGAAATTAATTAAATTTTATTGTAAATAATTTTTATAAAAATTTTAAGAGAGGCTTTTACAAGGCAGTTAGTTTGTATTACTTACTTAAAAAACACGAATTTTGGTTTATATCACTTTTACAATAAAAAAGCGATATATCTATAAGGGACACAGTTTAAAAACAAAATACAAAAGCGGATGAATTGTAATTTATTGGTCAAGTTTTATAATATCTATTGATAGAAAATCTACAATCAAATTTACAAATAGTTGTTGTAACTACGTGTATACTGGTAATAAAAAGAGAATGTTATTGATAAAGATACTTGGAATGAACATGAAGTGAACTATAACTAACTTATAACTAGAACTAGAACTTGAACTGAACTAGACCAAATCTTTTGTATTTTTGAGTTGAAATAAATATGAGATTTAATATTTCGTACAAATTATACATATTATTTTATAACTTTAAACTTTATTTAAAAGAGAGCATTAACATATCTGATATTTCTTCATTTTAGACCCGCCCGCAATGACGTTCCATCTATGTACATCGAAGAAGACGAACTTAATGACGAAGAAGCAGCTATGGGTGGAACTCGAGCCGCGGAAATAAGAGCAAGAGTGGCACCTCATAGTATGGGTCCACGTTGTAGTACGAGTACGTCTAGTTCTCAACACCATTATATATCGGAGGGATTCATACAATACGCTCAGCCCAGTCTAAACGGTACTATACCCAAATCTATACTTAATAAATTATAATTCTATATAATTTTCTTTAAAGTAGTAGATTTCTTAGAATTGATTTTCACAACTAAATGTTTAATTTGTAGATTTTAGTTAAATGCTGCAATAATATAAAAAATATTAGCTTATTTACTTAGTTTTTCTTTAATATGTATAAAATTTATATCTTTAGAAATAGAAATAATGTATGTTTGTTTTGTGAATGACCTGTAATTTTATTTGTATTGTTTATTGTTTCTTCAGCTGTAGTAGCAATTTTTGTAATTAATAATAATAATCCCTTTTATTTTTATTATCAATACACTGCAGTATTAAGTTTTAAGTAGTTTAGTTTTATTTATTTTAATTTTAATGCCAAAAATAAACAAACTATTTACTTTTTATATTTATTTAAATTTTAATATAAGTAAATTTATATTTTCCTTTCATATACTTTTCTTAATAACTTTAAATAATTACAAATTATTTTTTTTGTTACTGTTTTCTACTGTTTCTTTTAATACCCTAATGTTTTTTGTGTCTATATAAGCCTTTATTCTTAATTAATATTAACTAAAATACACTGTAATATTTTTTGTTAAAAAAAAAAACTTACAGCTCTAAATCGCCTTATTTAAATATTTACTAAAGAATTTAACGCTAGTTAAAATGCAAAAGGCTGTAACAGACAGTTGTCAAAATTTTAAATAAAGAAAACAAAAGCATTACATTTTGTGCTTAATTAAATGGTCGAATTTAATATAAAAAATGTATTTAGTTTCTTTTTCGAAATCGTCTTAAAATGAATAAGTCCCTTTTGCATTTCAGCTTACACTTTTTAATTTTGTATGTCTGTGTGTGTACGAATTATTTAGTCCCGTAACTGTTTTATACTTCTTCAATTACTCTGTATGTGTGTTTTTGTTTTTCCGCATTTCATTTTAATTGTATATTCTGTTTATTTCATGAACAAAATTTACATTTTATTTGATTAAATTATTACGGCTTAGAAATGACACCATTATTTGTATTCAAAAAGTTTCATTACATCCGTCACTTTTAATTAGTTTATTAGAAAAAATAGACGGAAATTTGTTACATGTCGCTCGTTAAAACTGTGATTTGTTTTGGGATTTTTAACGAAAAATTTAATTCTACTGCATAATGGAGCGTATAATTAATATTTTATTTATCATACGCCAAGTTGGAATATTTTAAACCTGATGGTTCTCTAGGCAATTGTTATATTATTTAAACGACAATGTTTACTTGTTTAATATTTTAAAAGCAAATTAATTCCTGATTTAATTTTTTCATTATGGTTGGGAATATATTTTTTACGTTGTTATATAAATTGGAACTAAAACCCATCTAGAACTAAACTAGAACTGAACTAGAACTGAACTAGAACTGAACTAGAACTGAACTAGAAACTGAACTAGAACTGAACTAGAACTGAACTAGAACTGAACTAGAACTGAACTAGAACTGAACTAGAACTGAACTAGAACTGAACTAGAACTGAACTAGAACTGAACTAGAACTGAACTAGAACTGAACTAGAACTGAACTAGAACTGAACTAGAACTGAACTAGAACTGAACTAGAACTGAACTAGAACTGAACTAGAACTGAACTAGAACTGAACTAGAACTGAACTAGAACTGAACTAGAACTGAACTAGAACTGAACTAGAACTGAACTAGAACTGAACTAGAACTGAACTAGAACTGAACTAGAACTGAACTAGAACTGAACTAGAACTGAACTAGAACTGAACTAGAACTGAACTAGAACTGAACTAGAACTGAAACTAGAACTGAACTAGAACTGAACTAGAACTGAACTAGAACTGAACTAGAACTGAACTAGAACTGAACTAGAACTGAACTAGAACTGAACTAGAACTGAACTAGAACTGAACTAGAACTGAACTAGAACTGAACTAGAACTGAACTAGAACTGAACTAGAACTGAACTAGAAACTGAACTAGAACTGAACTAGAACTGAACTAGAACTGAACTAGAACTGAACTAGAACTGAACTAGAACTGAACTAGAACTGAACTAGAACTGAACTAGAAACTAGAACTGAACTAGACTGAACTGAACTAGAACTGAACTAGAACTGAACTAGAACTGAACTAGAACTGAACTAGAACTGAACTAGAACTGAACTAGAACTGAACTAGAACTGAACTAGAACTGAACTAGAACTGAACTAGAACTGAACTAGAACTGAACTAGAACTGAACTAGAACTGAACTAGAACTGAACTAGAACTGAACTAGAACTGAACTAGAACTGAACTAGAACTGAACTAGAACTGAACTAGAACTGAACTAGAACTGAACTAGAACTGAACTAGAACTGAACTAGAACTGAACTAGAACTGAACTAGAACTGAACTAGAACTGAACTAGAACTGAACTAGAACTGAACTAGAAATCATCATTTGTTTTAACATAAAAATGTTACCCAAAGTTAACTCATATACACACAATCACACTTGTATCATTAGTAGTAAATATTTTCATATAAAATAGGAAATTCATGTTTCCGATTTGTAAGTAAAAATCCTATTTTTCTCCTTTTTAGTAACTAACTAAGCTACTAGTAGAAAGTATAAAGTAGTCCCGAATAAATTTATAACATAATTCCTTTGTAGGTCTATATAAAATGTATATACTTAGCTGTACTATAATTGTGCACGTAAATCCGTAGGCTTATTTAAAATCAAAAATTTAAGTAGTTCTTTTGTAGTGCTAAAACTAAAACTTAAAGATAACATAATTGTTCAATCCGCCTTAAGGAGGCTTGTGATACTGCTTGTCCTCTCTCAAACTGTAGTGATACTTCTGACCTTCTATTACCTATGAAAAGCTCTATCATTTAACTTAAAAACTCCCTACTACTATAACTATTTAAAACTACATATTCCCACTTATGAAAAATTAAAAAAAAATAATATGCTTGTTATCTGAAATGTAACTGTTACTTGCAAAAATTGTGTATAAATTTCCATTTAACTCAACTAATTTGTTAAAATTCTTTATATTTTGCTTACCATGTTTCCCTTTACCCCTGCAGGCGATGTTCTATTGCCATTGCTTGAGTGTCATGCTTCAGCGGCTGTTAATTGCTACGCCTTATATCCTTTAACTGCTGTCACTACTCCGACAACCACAACTACTAACACTAATAATACCACTGCTAATGCAGTTTCCTCTACATTAACAAATAATGCGTCCAACATGGTAACTGCCATATCCAACACCGCTCTATTGAATGCAGCCTGGTCCAAAAAATATGTGCCCATTAAAACGTCTACAACGACAGGAGGTCTTAACCTCTGGACAAATGGCAGTGATGTTTAAGATTAATTTAAGATTATGTTTAATATTACTTATAGTTTTTCCTATACTAATACCCAAGAGTCCTTAACAATTCCTTAAAAATTTTCTTTATAAGTATATTGGTATTATAAATTTAATTTTCATTGTAGGTGTCAACTTTTGTTTTTCTTTAATTTAGGAGTTTAAAAGAAAATATTTCTATTTCTTAAAATGATTGCTTTAAACCCATTAAAATGCTTTTATCTTGGTTATATATTTTAAGATTTTTTTTTTATATTTGTTTAGTATGTGTGAGTTTTTTTTTTTTTTTTTGTTTGTATGAGAAAATGTCCATTGTTTCCAACCAGTTATTTTTTTTAAATTTTTTTGTACAACAATATGGTTTTTCTCTATTTTTTCGTTAGAAGAAGCCTCTTATGATATTCTATCTAATCTAGATTTGATGTTACTGCACAGTGGGGAAAGGTTTAAAATGTTTCGAATTTACCCGTTTTACTACTAGTCTACATTTTCCATAAGATATATGCAAGTCTGTTACCCACTGTTTTGATTATTTCTCAAATTTGATGAAACATTTTCCTATACAAGTGTGCCAGCAACTATAAGTGCCCTAGATATACATATAAATCAAACAAAAGTACTATTTACTAGCTTTTTCCTTTCTAAAATGTTCCTTTTACTTTTATAAGTTCTAGTACACGTAATTTTCTTTACAATGTTACAACAAATTTAAATTAAATTTTCTGCCTTCATCAGATTTTTAACGCTTTCCAGAGTGTCTAAAAACTACAACCGCCATTGTCTTTAGTCTAGAGAAATTAGCACTTTAACTTACAAAAGAACTATGTTTATCACTGACCAGACATTTACAATTACTTTCGGTATAAATACTCCTGGTAGTAATAATATCAACAACACCTAGAAAATTTTATTTCAAATTTAAATTATTTTTACTTTCTTTCTATAACAATTTAGTAACTAAAACACAAAATAGAAGCACCTACTATAGACCAATTTATTTTGTTCCTATTAAGGATTTAATATTGTTGTTTGTGTGAAACTTTTCTGTATTTTTCTAATAAAATGTACGAAAATAAAACAAATTTCTTTTGTCTTTCTGTTTAAAGTAATTTTTACCTAAATTTTTAAAAACGATTATTTAACAACTTGTTATAGGAGTACCTATGTATGTGTGTTTGTATGCCTGGATCTGTGTGTTATATAATTTGTGTATTTTATGTTTTTTTTTCTTTTTGTAGTTGATGTTGTTATTTTTGGCATACAAAGCACTCTTGTGGCTTTAATTGGCCATAATTGCAAAATGCTTTTAACTTTTATGAATTCTCTTCATCTTTACATTTCTATACTAGTCTTGGTTTTTCTCTTTGTGTCTCTATCTCTATACACATGTCACATGTTTTTCACTTATACATACATACTTACATATTTTGTTATTTACATACTTTACACGTATGTTTAGTAGGGTAATAACCAAAATAAAGATCTATCGGTATGAGATAGTTCGTGGTGATTTAAAACGAAAATACTTTACCCGAATCATTTTGGAAATCGATTTAACTTAACCTTTCCTTCATGTCTTGTACCAAATAATGAAACTTGTTTGTGTCAGAAATTACCCATTTTA